TTACATACGTTAGGCGCGGCCGATTGCAACCAAAATACGAGGTGCACATCTACATGTTATAGCAGTCCTATATACAAAATTTCAACGTTCTGAGGCTACTCGTTTTTGAGTTATGCGAGATACGTTCGTACTCACGTACGTACATACGTTCGTACAGACGCCACGAATTAATTTTAAAGCAGTTTTATAATTTTTTTGAAGGAAAAGAGTATTTTATTTTGTCCTTACGTACAGATATGATTCCAAAACATCGTTAAATTGCATTCGATAGCGGTCAAAATTTATATTTTCGTTGAAATATGCTGCCTGAAACTTTTCGCGCTTACAATACTTCATTTTTACTTCGTACAAGGAAGTAAAAATTGTTCTTCAAGATTTTACTTTTAGCTACTTTATTTTCATTCTACACCCGCTTAGTATTACTTGATGAGAAATAAAGGTGGATCTAATTTTATTTAACATTTTTTATCTGTGAACACACTAAGCACAAACAAATTCTATCATGATGACATTATCTCCATTTTTCTATCTCAGTTTGCTTGTTCCAATAGTATAAATAACAAAAAAAAAACGTTCCTAGCGCAATATTATACATTTCTTTTTCATAAACCATTGCTGGAATCACAATTATATGTCGAAAACGGGTATTAGTTAGAAAGTGTTACCTGTTAGGATTCGCTATTTTTATTTATTTATTTTTTGAAATTTTTAAGCTGGATGGCAGTGTACGATAAATAAGTTTAAGCTATCTTAAAATACTAATTCAGAAGTCAAACAACAAAAATCAGCGTTATATTTACGAAATTTTCACAGGACTAGTTTCGATGGTTTTACCGAACCACCATCCTCAGCTGCAAAACCGCAAATGAACAATATAGAAAATAATGATTAGATAACATGAGAAAGCCTGGACAAGAATAAGCAAGTGGCGCCATCTGTTGGAGAAACCAGCTATTATATATCTTAAAATGTCTGATGTTAATTCAGTTCTTTTTTCATGAATTCAGTTTTCGTTTCGTGGCAGGGCGAAAATACATAGAAAATCAAAACATCGCCGTTAAAATTTCAAAAGTATAGAAAAACATAAAACACCAAACACAGCTAAAACAGTTAAAAAATAATTTTTATGGCACGTCCTACTCGGGAAAAGATACTGAAAATGCAGAAACTAACTTAATTATCTATTTTACTGAGTTTTAAATGTAAACAAATGGCGGTTTTAGATATGCCTCGTCACTTTTGAATTGTTGATAATTCTACAACTATTGTATACACATTAACTAAAGACATAAAATCCTTAACCGGAACATGAAAGCCACATAATTCAATCACGTTTAAAGCAAAAATTGCGCAATTTACCAACGTATAAGTATTGAAAATCTAAGCTCACCGAGCCAGGTAACAGAATGGGAAATATATACATATATATGTATTTATATATGATTGGTGTAGCCGATCGCAATGAAAAAGATAAATGTACGACTACATGTTATAACAGTCTTAAATGCAAAATTTCAATGTTCTACGGCTACTCGTTCTTGAGTTATGCGAGATACATACATACGTATGTACGTACTTAAAGCCTGGCGGTCATACGAAATGACTGCTGTTCTATATATTATAAATTGATGATTATAAACAGATGATTGCTAATGCAAACAAATGTTCACGTTGCCCCTGACAGGCTCAATTTTCGTTCAGCTGAAAATTCAGTTTAAAATGCAATGCCTGCCTGGTGAAATGTACTACACACAACTCGTTAGCTGGTTTCGTCTCCTTTAATTCATCAACGTTTGCAAGTTTCTAGGTCATTCATATGTAAATATAGTTAAATGCATAATAAGCAACAATTGTATGAATTAAAAATATTTAAATGTTCTTAAATACCATGATATTTTAATTAAAACAATGATAATTACATGTATGGTATCATTGTATGTGGACTATTTGAATGCCGTGGCAACTTCACCCCATTGGCTAGTACAGTTACGCAAGCAACCAATGAACTATCGGTGACAAACAGACACTTAAGCCGCATATAATAAAGAAGTAGAGACATCATAAAAAAATCTCTTCTGAATTCCTTTTAAATCCATTTTATAATCCTTTTTGGCAAAACCAGTCTTTTATTCTATCTGTATATACAGATGTCGTGCAAGAATATTGTTTAAATGGCTTCGAGAGCGGTAAAATGGGTATATTCTTTGAAATATGATACCGGAAATTTTTCGCGATTACAATACTTCATTTACTTCGTACAAAAAAGGGAAAAACAGTACTTAAGGTAAATTTTATTATCTTTATTTCTCCTAGAAGATAACAATAAATGAATCTGATGTAACTGGATTGTTAGTGACCTGTTATTTTTTCATTCTAAAAGACACTAAGTGCATGAAATTACCTAGCACGGCATTAACTATTTATGAAGGAACCGGTGTCCACAGTTTTGTTCTTTAACTTCACTTTTTAGGAATAAAATGTTAAGGAAACTGAACAAAATCGCTTTTACTTCTTTGTAAGAAGTAAAGAAGTACTATAACCGCGAAAAATTTCGATTACAAGATTTCGGCAGAATTAATTATTTTGATCCTTCCCGAATCCATTTTTACTATTTTTTTGCATGACGTCTATACGTACGGATAGAATGAAGGACTCTTTATTCCGAAACGTATTGTAAAATGGATTCAGAATGGATTTTTTTCGTTATATCTATGTATTTTGGTATGTATGTATTTTACATAACTCAAAAACGATTAACGTATAACGTTGAAGTTTTGTGTATGGGGCTACTATAACATTTAACTGTGCACCTTCCTTTTGTACTGCAGTTGGCGGGACCAAAAGTAGATACATATTGTAAGGATCTTAAGTTTTACTAACGTTTATTTTATTTTAAATCTTTACTATCACTTCTTATTTTCTACTTCCGGCCAGAATTATAAGCGTGAAGGTTTTTATGCAAAGTTTGTCTGGCGAACGCCAAGTAGTATTTAAGTGTGGCCTTTTTGCCAAGCGAGAGAGAGGAAGCAGTAAGTCAACGCAGGCCGCTTACCTTAGAAGTTACACAGTTGCTGTTCGCCTTCCAGGCCAGAGGTTTTAATCCTCTTGATAAATTAAACGTATTGTAGTGTTCACAGTCTCTGTGCTACATACGCTTCCTGTTATTATAAGGCCAATCTTCCACGTGTATTATTCTAAAGTTAAATTAGAGTTTAGTTTTATTTTTTATACTTTTTTACGTTAGACCCCGAGTGGAGGGTCAGTGTATTCCGAAGTACGGAAGTTATTGTATATAGAGAAAAATAAAGGGTTTTGTATACCTTTCGTCTGTATCCTGTCTACTTACCACAATTAGTGAACATAGCTTTAGTAAGCTCTCTGTTCCGAGTGAGGTCCTTGTATGTTCCCGAAGAAGGTTAGAAGGAACATTGAACCTGATAATATACCTATTCGCCTTACCCGTCTTTTATTTTCGGTAAAGTACAGAAAAATTCCCAACAGGATCTATGGTAGTTGCTGTACTTTGTTACAATGGTGAGTTGAAATTCGAAATACTCTGAGGTAAATCTAAAATTAATTTATTGTAGTGTCGGTAGAATACTTCAGAACCAATTTTGAAAAGTTGAACTTCATATGGATAAAGCCTTCAGTCACAATCTAAGGTAATTGTCTCTTATTTAGCAAAGAAAAAAAATCAGAAACAGGAATAATAAATTTCACCACTTGTTCTTTAACTTCGCTTTTCAGGAATAAAAAGCTAAGGAAACTGAACAAAATCGCTTTTACTTCTTTGTAAGAAGTAAAGAAGTACTATAACCGCGAAAAATTTCGATTACAAGATTTCGGCAGAATTAATTATTTTGACCCTTCTCAAATCCATTTTGACTATTTTTTGCATGACGTCTATACGTACGTCTATGGATATTCTTATACGTAAACCTATGGATAGTCTATACGTACTCCTATGCTATAGGTCAGTTAAAACGAACCTGAGGAAACACGGCATCCAACAACACTTAACGAACTTCCGAAAATGACCCAAGAGGAGTACATTTTACATGACAAAATTTATATGGCTGTGCTAAGGAAAAGTTTATTTTCCTGGAAACTTCGATGTACAGCTATAGCCAAAAATAAAGGCTATCAGATAGAAACAAATTGCGCAATAAATACGTCCTTTATGCGTAAGAAATAATTACCAAAATCGTTTTCATGAAGTGCAAGCGACCTTTTGTACATTGAAATGGGTGTTTTAATCTCAATAACATTAACTCGAAAGTTCCCTTCACCATTCGTAAAGAGATATAAATTCGCTCTTGGACGCTTTAATGATGAGCTGTATCTTTGAGAAAGAAGAAACAGTAAGCGGTAACAATCCATTCGCGTGAACATGATGATCATAATCGTCGTAATGAATGAAGCTTAAATTCTTGCTTATTCCAAGAAGTGCTGCTTTCGAAATGGTAACCATGTTGTTAGAGTCCTGAACAAATAACTCGTTCAGTTCACAACGTATACTCAATTGTTAAGACGGTATAGTGGTTATGAGAACCTACTGTGGTAGCAAAGGGTCCGGGATCGAACACCGGAGAAGGCATGGATATTTATAAACGTAAAGAGTCTTTGAGGTTGGTGGCACTGTAAATATATGGGGAGCCGAAGTACCTCTCTTGTGGTTTGGTGTAAGGGAAGAGGGGGTGGAATTAAAATTACGTGCACTCGGATCCCCCCGGAGTGTTGTCCCTCGAAAGTGAAGTGGAAGTTGAAGTCCAGCCTCCTTGAGGCTCTGGCAACCGTTCTTCCAGGAAGTACGAGGACAGGACAACAACAGCTATTAATTTAGATACACATCATTGTGTTTCTAATTTTTTTATTTATCCTGCGTATGATTCTGTTCCTGTTTCATGTAGTGTAACTAAAATGTTTGTTTTAAACCAACTTAAAAATACATGAAGTATTTTTTGTTTTATAAAATGAACACTTTATATCTTTCTTTTCAGAAGCCGCTCAATATACAATCCTATAGCATATCTCCAGATCGTAAGTTTGTGCTTTTATCTTACGATCACGAACAGGTAAGAATATTTGTTTCTTTCTTTCGTTATCTGTTCTATTTTCTACTTTTATGATGCAATTATTATACTAAATACTAAAAATTTCTCATCTGTTTTATATAAACATTATTACTGACTGTGAGATAGACACTAGATCATACCTGTTCAGACAGGCAATTTTCGGAGGAAAGTATTAAAACAAGGGAATTTTAAAACAAGATAAATTTAAATACGAGATATCTTAATTCCAGAGTCAGTTAGTATATAACACATAAAGTGACGATTTTTAGAACAGGTTTTTTTATTACATTCATTCACGCTCTTCTCTTTCCCAGCTGTTTTCCCATAAATTTCCCAGCTTTTTTTATATAAGCTTCATTACTGAATGTGGAATAGACGCTAGATTATAACTTTTTCAGACAGGCTATTTTCGGAAGAACGTTTTAAAACAAGGGAATTTAAAAACAAGATAAATTTAAATCTATTGATCTGCAAGATATCCTAATTCAAGAATCAGTTAGTATACAACACATATAAACTGATTATTTTTGCAACAGGTTTTTTATTACATTCATTCGCCCTCTTCTCTTTCCCAGCTGTTTTCCCATAAATTTCTCAGCTTTTTTTATATAAGCTTCATTACAGAATGTGGGATAGACGCTAGATTATACTTTTTCAGACAGGCTATTTTCGTAAGAATGTTTTAAAACAAGGGAATTTAAAAACAAGATAAATTTAAATCTATTGATCTGCAAGATATCTTAATTCCAGAATCAGTTAGTATACAACACATATAAACTGATGAATTTTTATAATTTTTTTATTACATTCATTCGCGCTCTTCTCTGTCACTTCGTAATTTTGCGCCCTCCAACGGCGGCTTTATTACAACGCCGTCTGTCCGTGGCTTACACCGTGACCTTCGTGAATTAGAACTTCGTGTTCTTCCAGTTGGCCGTGCTTATACACGGAAAGCTAAATGTCTTCTCCGAGTGGAAAAGGAAGAGGAGTAGAAGACTCTTTAAGCTTCCCCCCCCCAGGATAATTTTGCGTCAAAAGTTGGGGGCCTAATATACACAGTGTTTCAAAAAGAATATACGTATTACAAAGTGTTATTTTGTACAAACTATCGATCACTGCGCCTCGGCTCGGCTATCGGCGAAACGAATACATAGTTTAGTTTATATTAATAGCCGCTAGATGTCAGTTGTTTTCTGTTTTGCGTGGCAACCGCCACATGTTTAAAATGGCTACTCCGAAGCAGAAATCATTTTGTGTTCTCGAGTTTGACACCCTGTGACTTCTTCCTGTGGGGGTTTCATTAAAGACAACGTTTATGTACCACCACTCCCACAGGACCTGGAAGAGGTGAAGAACCGTACTGTCCGTACTGTCATAACATCCGTACTGGATCCGTACTGTCATAACATCAGTGACGACGGACATGCTTGCCCGAGTATGGGAGGAATTGACATTGTTCGTGTCGCTGATGGAAGACATATTGAAAATCTGTAACATCTGTAATCTGAATTTGAGAGGTTCGCACATATGTGTGTGAAGTTTCATATTCATATGTCATACAGTTTAATAAATATATGCATTTGAGATACGTACGTAGCGTATTCGGAAACTAAGTACCGTTTCATTCTAGCGCCATCGCAGAGCTGTGGTAGGCGACCCGCGCATGCGTACTAGTCTTTCTTGTTCACTGACTTTCAATTGTCGCCATTTTGGTTGCTCTATGTTGTGTTTTCAGTTTGCTGTGCACATTCAAAATGTTTAAGACAATTCGTTCTCCCGCTGACTGTGAGATTCGTGCCGTGATTAAAATTTTGAACGCGAGGAATATTAAACCGGCCGAAATTTATCGTCAAGTGACAGAAGTTTACGGTGAATACGCGATAAGTGATGGAATAGTGAGAAAGTGGGTAAGAATGTTTAATGCAGGTCGAAGAAATGTCCACGCCGAGGCTCGGAGTGGTCGGCCTTCTGTTGTCACCGATGATTTGGTAAGAAAAGTTGATGAAGCAATTCGTGAGAACAGACGCTTCACAATGACAACTCTTTCAAATGCATTTCCACAAATTTCACGTACTGTTTTGTTCGAAATTGTGTCTGACCGCTTGAATTATCGCAAACTGTGTTCCCGATGTGTTCTAAAAATGCTCACTGATGTTCACAAAACAAAGCGACTTGGTAGTGCCCTGACATTTTTCACGGGGTACAGTGATGAGGGAGAAAACTTTTTAAACCAAATTGTGACAGGTGATGAAAACTGGGTGTGTCATTTCACACTAGAATCGAAACAACAATCGATGGAGTGAAGACACACTCATTCTCCGAAAAAAACAGAAGTTCAAAATGACAATGTCATCACAAAAAATCATGTGCACTGTCTCGTATATTCTTTTTGAAGCACGCTGTATTTTCGGAGATTCACATGTACCGGCCTTGCTTCAGCCTGTAGCTGTTAACGTTTGCACCAGCAGTAGAGGTAGTTTCTCGAAGTAAAATTCATAAGCAGCAGGAAGCATGACCTGAGATGTAGACAGAAAATAAGAATTTTCTTTTAACATGTGAAGTAATTAAGTAATGATCCGTTTTCAGGAACACCAGCACAACATTCTGTTCTTTCTTCCATGTACAAACAGCGCTACAAAACGGATGTCAGTTTTAAGTTTCATCAGTATTCAGGAAGACTATCAATATATTGTATTCTCTAGTTTCGAAATAAGCAAATCATTACTCCTTAATTCAGTTTATTCGTACTTCGAAAGACAAAATTATAAATAACAGTTTAAGGAAAGGTGCGCTGTGAAGTGTCTTACATCCTTCTTGCTGCATTCGTACTTCTTTCCAGTTCCAAGTTAGTATAAATTAGTTTACCGGGTTCCTTTCTCTTGCAGTGATATATAAGCTGGAAGGTGAAACTCTCCTCAGATTTGTGAGATTGTTTTAATTAATTGCTGAGTTCAAAGCGGTGAGGAGAAGTATAATTCCCTGGATATTTCCACTACCTTGCAAAGCATCAACTGCTTGAACTCCACTGAGAATTATTTTCGACACACACGCATCTTCACTCGACTTGGGGTAATTTAATTTTCAAATAACAGTCATTCGAAGCGTTTCCTTGCTTGTACCAATGATGCAATTGCGTAGAAGATGTTTCTGCGCAAGAAGAGAAGGCATACAAGATGTCTGTATGTCCTCGAAATGCGTAATTTAATTTGTTTGATACAGAATACTATATTAAATAAATGAGACATATATATATAAGAATATAAATTAATTTTCCTGTTCGGGGCTGATTTGGAATACGGAATAATAAATTGGTTTATTTATGTAAGAGGAATTTATCGCTGATGAACAAAACAAATTTCGTTTAAATTAATTTGCTCAATTTTGTGTGAACGTGTGTGTCACGAAAGAGTGTGAAACTGTTTTAATTGACTGAACTGAACTGCATTGAGTTTCAAGAATATGTAAAGAATTAAAGGTGCAGAAATTAATTACACGTTTTAAAGCATTTTGAAACCCTGTCTTGTATCAAAGTCAACATACAAAGCTTTTCCTGTTGCACCTAAGTTTGCGGAAACTGCATATCTAATTCTCTTATATGAGATTTTCAGCCATTTTTACTTCCGTGTACGAAGTAAAAGAAGTATTTTAATCGCGAAAAATTTCAGGTATTATATTTCAATGAAAATATCTATTTTTGCAACTCTCGAATCCATTTCAATGATATTTCTGCGTTGCATCTGTATGTACGAACAGAATAAAGGACTCTTTTTCGCAAAACGGTTTGGTTTTAGGTTGCAACCAGTTTCTGCACCCAATTTTTGCCGAGTAGGAGTAAAAGTAAACTTTTTGGTGCATCAAAAATACGTCTTCCTGCCCGCTGCCCAAATTGCTTTTTTTTTTTTTTCGGGAAGGCTCTTCATTTTAGTTGCAAAAGTTGCTTTTTTTTTAAACTGTTTTTGGTGTTTTAGGTGTTTTTGTAATTTACAATATTTAATGAAAATGCTTTGATTTTTTATGTATTTTTGGCTTGCCGCGAAGTGAGAACGGAATTGATTAAATGAGAAATGTATATTTATTGAAATTAGAGGAAACAAGCTTAAATGAAATGCAGGAAAAATGTGTATAATTTAACAGGCAGTGCAACGAAGTCATGTGATGGCCTAATCTGACGTTTTTAAAGAGAAAGTGTTTCGAGAGTGATAAAGCACTTATTTTTAGTTACTGAAAGTATACGAACGCGAATAATTCTTTTCGGCTAGAATAAAATACCATAATAAATATAATTTCTCCATTTTAGAGCTTTAACGAATTTCTAAAATATACTTTTTGCGGATATCGTACATCCCCCCTTTGATAAAAGCTTAAAAATCGAATAATCCATAAGGTATTTCTCTCGCCTTCTTAGCGTGCCTTCGTAGTGTAGTGGTCTTCATGCTGGACGCGTATTCCAGCGGTCCGTAGTTCGTTTTTTTGCGTGAGATTTTGCGTGACATTTTTGCGTCACATTTGTACCCGTGAAAAATTTCGGGTATTATATTTCAACGAAAATATTCTTTTGGGCAACTCTCCATTCCATTTCATGTTTGACATTTGTACCCGCGGATAGAATAAAGAATTCTTTTTCCAGTTTTTAATGGACATGTTTTGAGTTTTTATGCATTTTTGCCTCACCTTGAAATGAGAAATATACCTGTCATGAAATTCGAGAACATAAATTCAAATGTAGTGCAGCAATAATATGTATCATTTAATAGGCCATGCAAGTACTGTCTGTCTACGAGAAGAAGAGCTCCCGCCACAGTGTCTGGCGGGTGGCGGTCGCTATAGCAACGGGGCTAGTATATTTCAAATAGGGACGGACCAAAGGTTGCTTTTTTGTTTTTGGCGATTGTTGGCTGAGGGGAAAAGAGTTTATCATTCGTCTTCAAGACACCCCTATGGAAAATGGGTCCAGGCTCGTTTCTATGGCAACAGACAGCTGCAGACTAATTGGCAAGAGC